TGGGTGTATGAATGTATGAGTGTTGTGGGGCTATGTATGTAATCTTTGCGTTGGTTTAGACTCCTTGTTGTTTCGACTTGCTTAAAATGCGGTTTGGAAATGATACCTTTTGGGTTGATTCGTTTGCATAATTGGAGGAAATGATACCTTTTTGGGTTGATTCGAGGATCATTGGGTCGCCTTTTTGGGATTTTTTGTCGATCATTTTAGACGCGATTTTGAGGGTCAATCCACCTTTCACCTCTTCGCTCTTTCAGGTGGATTGATCCCTCCTCTCTCTCAACCAATTTTTTCTTCTTTTCTTCCTTGCTTCTTGGTTCGATTCAGGTGCTTATGTCTGAAACATAAACACAAATATATAACCGTCGTTATATATGAACTATCAAGCAAGGTTATAAGTTCGACGGTTCATTATGGGGTGGGCCTTGATATGAAGGCAAGAGGTGGTAGAACGAAATAATATTCCATCCTACAACATTGGGACCAAATCCCGGGGCCCGGTAAAATGTAGAATGATAATATTATTCACCTACACCAGACTAGCAGAGCACCCTTGCCCTCTTAGGTTGTTGGCATTCCTAGCCCGACGGTGCGATCGATTTGTGAACAATCATACTTTTATAAAAATGACAAAGACAAATACGATAAGATCAAATACATTGTTTTCAAAAGTATTTTGACTACCAAAATAGATACTATTTTTCTTGTTTGCATGAAACCTACACGCATGTCAAAATATAAATTTTAATTAACATAATTTAATTGTCCACTTGTCAATTATCGGTACTGGGCTAAGGAGTATTCTCTTAAGTTGGTATAGTAGGACACCTTTCTAGTTGAATGTCGAACTTTATACATACGGGTGACCGATAGTTGTCTTCAGAGTCCCTTGAGAATACCTAAATCTGAGTTCACCCGAACCTGAAGGCTTATAGTCCACTTCGGCATTTTTATTGTTTCACTTGTTATTTCCTTCGAGATTTTTTTGTCTTCTTGCAGTTTTCTTTGAGCTTATTTTGTGAGTAACTTGAGTTTTATTTGATAAGTTATGAGGTGGGAGCCTCAGGCAAAATGGTAATTTTGGTGTTTTAATGTCTTAATTAAATTTTAGGATTAATCATAGGGTAAATGGGTAATATTTATCACAATAAACTTTTGAATGATTGAAACACAATGGGTTAAAAGGTAGAAACCAATTTGTCATCATTTTATGATAAGGGTAAAATTGTAATTTCACTGATCATCTAACTTGAAAGTCAATTCAATAGGATGATCCTAAAGTAATGTGCTTATGCCATGGAGATAGTAATTTACTCACTCAAGGCCCACCAATTGGTGATTAAATGTTAAGTTTGATATTAATGAGGATTGAAATTCCATTTCAATATTTAATTATCTCAAATTTACTTTGAAGATTGAAATCAACAGGGCCTAATAGTGCACTAGGTTCGACATGTAAGAATTGTCATAACTTGGGATTAGAAAAGATGGACTTAATTAATTGATGATCACTTCCGAACACTTCAGGCCCTACTCTAATTTTGGGCATTAAAATCTATAATAACTTTGGATTTGCCCTTTGGAGTACCCACTCATATAACTGTCAAGTGAAATGTTAAGTGACTATCTAACTTCCTTTGAAATGTCAAATTTCACTGAGTAATAGGGTAGTTTAACTCAACTTCGGGATGATTAATAAAACAATATAATAAGTTCAAAATGAACTCAAAACGTTTCAAGAGGTTTTTAAAGCGATTCAGGGTCATTCCCCTGAACACTTTGGAGTCTCTTGGATATTTTGAAGGATAAATTGAACTTATTATACTTCGTTCTAGAAAATCATCCATTAGGATCTTTTAGGACTCATTGGGTCATAGTTTGAGGTTTGTTTGATACACTTTCATCTACTCTTGCAATTTATTTAATTTTCTGTAAAATTATATACCTGCTGCAAGTTCTAACATTTCAGCAAATGTCGAGAAGATGACAGATATGCTTTTATAGTGTTATTTAATTTTGTCATTTTATTTTATGCAATTTATTTTTGCTGCAAAATATTATAGTTGCTTGGATGTGTAATCTACTTTTCTTGCAAAACCAAAACAACCATTTTCAAAAATTAATCAGCTTTTTCAAAAATCTAAAACAAATTATTTCAAAGGTAACCATAAATCTTTTGAAATATCAGTAAACATAAAACGTTATTTTGAATTTACGGGAGTCCCTCGGAGGAAGTAACCCACGATCGCTAACAAGATCTCCTCGGTTTTAATGGGTTTTACAACTCGTTTAAGCTTAGTAAATTCAGAAGAAAATGATGATACCAGAATGAGGGAGCCGTGAGATTCTAATCGGTGTCGTTCTAATCAATTTTCAAATCCCTAATGATATTTAAATAACCATAACCTTAGGAAACATTTGATTTGACACCAGGACTTGTCACATTAGAAAACTTAAACTCGCTACGACGAGGAGCTTTGAGCTAACATCGTGGGCAACACGGTCATCTTCAACAACACAACATGTTTACCACCAGCTAAACCATTCATTAGAATTAAACAACAAACCATAAGGTTTCGAGGTCGTTCTCTCATTGCGACATAAATCTTCAACTCATCTTTAGGTCTTTGCAAGATCATGTTGTGCAATATAAGCCCAACTCGCTTTAGGATTTCGAGGTTGTCGTTCGTCACGACTTAAATCCTCATATCATTCAGACTATTTGTGTGATCGTTTCACACGAATATAAGCCCTGATTAATAAAACTGGCAGGATGAAATATTTAAATATTTCTCCTCTAAATTGAAACCAAACCATATGATAACTTGAAAAGTCACCGATGTTCTCTTCATGATCCATGACATCACATAGTTTTTTTTCCTTTGGATTCCATAATAAATGTTCCAAATTTGAGTCATTCTACTTTCATACCTTTTTGTCCGATCTTTTGAAAAATCCTATTCCTTTTAACTCCTAGTTATCGAGAGTTTCTTAAGTGACTCGAAGTATAGGGGTTTGCCTTTATAAGAAACTTTCAAGAACCCAACTTAATATAAACCCTATTTAATTTTTCGTATTAAATAGAGGAACTTGTCGGTCAACATAAAAAAAATATTTTTTTTGTAGACTTAAATGGATGTCATAATTTTTTTTAGTTTATTTAATCGAGTCTCACCAGTAAGTAGTATGCCTATCCTTCGGGATAAATGCATTGCTTGCGGTATTAGACTCGTTTATTTAAATTAATGAGGATATGAGATCGGTCCGATCTTGTATTTACAAAATTTAAAATACTATTTTTTCCAAATTATACATATTAAGTTAAATTAAAATGGATGTTGGGATATCCATCCTAGCAGCCGACAACTTCTCAGCTTTTTTTAGTGCGGACATGCTAATATGACCACCATGTTGACAATTCCTCTCGTCCAAGTACTGGTGACAAAGGTTGATCAGTTAGGTGCAGGCAGCCAGAGAATGGAGAACTTTGTGACATGAGGAACTCAGATGGAGGCAATTTCATTATTTGGAATTGTCAAGTCTATCAACAATTGAAGTACTCACCATGCAGTGAATGAATATTGGAGTTTATTTTGGTGACAAGGAATTCTTTGTTTTGCTTTTGCCCGATAGTTGGTGAAGGGGTGGTCATTTTCCTCTCAATTTGCCATAGTGTTTCGAGATTTGCTTATTGTTTTGCTGTAAAGAAAAAAATTAGAATAGAGTCAGTAAGAAAAGAGTTACCTTCTTAAAAGTATGCGGAGTAAATGGTTCACATTTTTTTTCAAAGCATTGAAGTATAGCAATGAAGGTTCAACATTATTGAGTAATTAGGTAATTAATATTTCTAGACTCTTACCTTTTAAAACTTTGACTGTTATTATTATATGGCGAAGAGGCATTGATATGTAGTTGTAAAAACTGACAATAATGCTAGTAGATTAGATTACAAAAGATGACTAGTACATTGAATTTGATGCCGATGGTAGAGGAGGCTTTCAACTATGTGGTGAGAAGCCGTTACATCATATGAGAGTAAAATTTGATAGGTAATTCTGGTCGTAGTTGTGTTTAGACAAGTAGCAATGGAGGGCTGTGGCATTTATCTATGGCAATGAGTTGCTTTTGGGAAGTGGTCATGCATGACGAGTAGCATTGGCACCTTGTGCTGTATTAGAGCAAGCATTGCGAGGAAGGGCTTTAGTGGGGTCAAGTGCCAACAAGAGATGCGAGTGAGAGTGGGAGGGCAACAAATAAGGAGGGGATTTCATACATATTATTCACCACTCACTAGAGGATCCTTATTTAGGAATGAGAGCAATGCTCTAGGGTACACTCAAATAACTTTCATTACTTTCCAAATATAAGGAATTTTCCTGTTTAATTGTGGTCCTACACTAACAATTTATTTTCAAATTTCTTCATTTTGATTTAGGATGTGGAGGTAAAATGTTCAGAGTTGATGAATTATTTTCAAAATTTCATTAAAATATATCCTTTGAAGTAGGATTGATATCATTGCAATTCATCATTTTTGTTGTTGCCTTCTTTCTGCAATGTGGAGCCAATTTTTTGCCTTACAAATAGAACACACTGTACATATTTTGCTGCACAGAGCACCGCTACCCAGTCTTTGGGAGTGGATCCCCCAAAAGGTAATCCATATTTGTTGTTTATTTCATTGAGAGCATTTTAATGATTCTCATATTTTTGGTTCCCTGAATTTTTTTATATAAAGAGATGGGCTCAATCTTTATGCTATATCAGAGAAATTAGGATCTTATTTTCTCTGCAATCAATGAACGGTAAAATCTACAACGGTAGCAACAGGATATAGTAATGAGTTGGTGAATTTGTATAAACTTTTTCCTATTTCTTTATGCACGGATACTATTTTTGATTTTCCATTCCTTTGAACTCATGATATTTGAAGTAGGTTCACTTAATTTTCAACATTTTCTTCCTACCACATTGACAGTTGCGGCCCTTCTTTCTTACAGGCCGCCATATACTTCAACAAAATACAGTGCTTCTGCTTCGAGGAGCAGACGCTGCTCCCCGGGGAACAAATAGATATGCCGGTGAGTTTTGTTAGTTCACGTTAATTCCTTAAATCTCTCCTTAACAATGGCATATGGTAACTCTGCAGGTATTTTTCTATATCGACCCTGAGTTTGAGACAGATCCTAAAATGGATGGCATCAACAACCTGATCCTCTCCTACACCTTTTTCAAAGTTAAATGAGAGTTAGAAAATAACTATTTGAGAGTGGGTTGGCCTGATATCAGGAGATGCATCTGATTCTCCTTATTTCTTGTTAAAAATATTACGAGATATTTTATAAAGATTTCATGGAGCTAGCTTTAGAATAGTAATTAAGCAGCCCTGATGTTTCAATTATTTTATCTCCCTATTAGAAACTGGGTTATTGATCAAGAAATTTTATGTCAGTTGTCTATAACTAATGTTATTGTTTAAATTAAGGTAAATCCGAGCAACAGCGGAGTTTGTTGATCCTGAAGCTGGGTATGTATTGTACTTCCTAGAGCCATGCATGCATAATTTCTAGATCTTATATACCTCCTCATTGCATCGAGAGTATTAAATTTATGAGAAGTTTATATATAT